CCGTTGTCAGTGGCTGGTCAGTTCCAGCAGCGGCTGACTTAAGGAAGTCTGGGGCAGAGCAGCTGGGGTGCTGCTGGGTTGGTCCCCTAGCGCCGCCCCTCGGCGCTGCGGGACCAACCCAGCAGCACTCCAGCTGCTCTGCCCCAAACTTCCCCAGTTCAGGCACTGCTGAAACTGACCAGCGGCTGACTCCGGGAAGCCCAGGGCACAGCAGCTCCAATTGTCCGGCTGCCTGGAGCACTTCCGGGTTCCAGGTGGTGCTGGACTATAAGGAGTGCCGGACCACTGGATGCCAGACAACTGGAGTTTTACTGTACTCCCACATCTTGAATTCTGTGTACACATGTAGTCTCCTCATCTCAAAAAAGATATGTCAGCTTTGGAAAAGGTTCAAAAAAGAGCAACAAAAATTATTAGGAGTTTGGAAATGTTGCCTTATGAGATTAGAGGTCTATAAAATCATGACAAGTATGGAGAAAGTGAATAAGGAAAAGTTACTTACTTGTTCTCATAACATAAGAACTAGGGGGTCACCAAATTAAATTAATAGGTAGCAGGTTTAAAACAAATAAAGGGAACCAGATAAATTCATGGAGGTTAGGTCCATTAATACGTATTAGTTAGAATGGATAGAAATGGTGTCTGTAGCCTCTGTTTGTCAGGGGCTGGAAATGAGCGACAGGAGAGGATTCAGTTGATGATAACCTGTTGTGTTCACTCCCTCTGGGGCATCTTGCATTGGCCACTGTCGGCAGACAGGATACTGGGCTAGATGGACCTTTGGTCTGACCCAGCATGGCCATTCTTATGTTCTTATATTCATAAACCAAACTTCATAAAGCATGGGGGGATAGTCACAGATAAAAGTAAGGCCCTGAATTAGAGCCTTTGTTGTAAAGCATGGCAGTAACTGTTTTTTGTTGTCTAATTAAGGTTAGATTTATTATTTACAGATACATCTAAGATTAGAAAGCGACTCACTAAAATATTCTATACACACATTTAGTGAGAAGAAAGAGAATGCATGATGGGGTGGTAATCAAAGCTTTATGAGCATCTGTTTGGGATGGCTCACGAATGTTCATTAAACAAGTAGCTAGAGCTGATTGGAAAAATCCCAAACTAAATCCATAAAACATTCTCAAATAAAACAATTATATATAAAATATTTTGTAGAAATTTGGTTTTTTCCCCCTTCTAAACAAAAAGATTTTCATTTAAATTTTGAATTTTTTCTCTGATTTTTTTTTTAAATCATTGAAATCACACTGGGTTTGTGAAATACATTGATTCTGAGGAAAAAGCATTTTTCAACAATAAAAATATGCTTGAAAATGTTTCCCAGGCTCTACAAGTGAGCTGTGCAGGTTACCCCCAAACGTTTAAACCACACTGGGCCATCCTTTATTCTATAGACACTCCACCTTGCCCTCTCTTCTGGATGCCCCAGAATCAGAGGAATGGAAAAGTGGGTAACAGTTGCTTTCCCCTACGCTTCAGGTCTTGGATGAACTGAGCCTAGTACAAGATCTAGAATCTTGCCCCATAAATCCAACTGCATACACCCTGACAGGAAATACAATATGTTAATAATTAATATCTATTACATTATTATATTAATAACCTTTAACATTGTTTTAAATAGCTTTTTGTAAACACGATGTAGTGATTTAAAGGTCAGATATCTTGGGAACTTCCAGGACCAGAAACAAATGCTCTATGTCCCACTGAAAAGTTGGAAATCTCTGCTTTTCTATAGTATAAAGGTCATAAACGAAATCCTCAACTTTGAAATAAATGGCAAAACTCCCATTGATTTCATTGAGGTCTGGATTTCACCCAATATTTCTAGTCTTGTGGAATCATGAAGCATCTAACCTTATATCTGTCACTGGTCCAGGCTGAATATCTCCCAGCCTAGGTCACAAACCACTGCAATTTTAGGAGAGATATTCCATGGTTGGGGAATAGGAAACATGTTGGTAGAGGGCCTCAGAGGAGGGGTGGAAAGGAAGTGGGGCAAGGATATTTGGGTTTGAGGTAGATCTTATATTGCACTTACCCTGAAGAAATGACCTTGTCGTTGAAAAGGTTGGAGACCACTGCCCCAGGGAATAAAACATATTCCAAGATGTCTACCAAAGGTTATTCCTGACAAGGATGCTGTACATTAGGCATAACTATTTTCTTTGTCAAGGTCCAAATTAGGGATGTGAATGGTTAACCAGTAAACCTCACCCTTGCTCCAACCGACTGGAGCAGCCCCTATCCATGGCAGGTCTGGCGTGTCCACAGCGGGCCCAGTCCAGGCTGCTCTGCGCCAGCTAGAGTGCCCCCTGCCTGCAGCCGGGGGGTAGGGGGAGGAGAGGGAGGGGGAAGGGCACTCCCCTTTAAGCAGATAACCAGTTAAACACTATGTTTAAACATCTAACCAATTAAATGGGATTTTACATCCCTAGTCCAAATTTCTTGGTTAAGGTATAATCAAGGTCCAGAGAAAATAAAGGTTCAAAAAATCATGTGTCCATCACCCCCAATTTTTTGCTTTTCTTTATCAAATAGTCAACTAGTTGCTTAGCTCCCTCCCCCATGCCCACCAATTAATTCTTTCCTCCAACTCTGAAATCAGTCTTGTCCTGTCTCTCCAGCCCCTATGAATTCTGCCTCCATATCTGCCCTCCATACACACACACACCCCATACCTATTTGTTTTTCCCTCCTGCAGCTCTGGGGGGTTTTCATCACCTTCTCCTATGTCTAGAGAGATGGCAGTAAGGTTTCCTTTGCTTCTTCTCAGGCCTAATGTTGCAGGGAGGAGAGAAAAGGGGAGCTGAGGAGGCATCACATTGCTCACAACTGGGGAGGGAAGAAAAGGGAGCAGAATCCTGCTGCACTGCTTGGCTGTTTCTTCTGCCTTCCCTCCCATGAAAATGCTTTCAGCTCCTAAAGGTAGAGGAAGAGAGCAAAGCCTGCTTCTGACTGGACTGACTGCTTTTTTCTAAGGTGAGGAAGTAGGGAAGATACCCAATCAGAGCGGGCTGTGTTGAAATTCTCAGAGGGCTGGAGAACCTGGTGCTATTTATTGGCAGATGGGCTCAAATTTTGTGACTTGCAATGGGGTAAATC